TAAAACACAGGGACACAGGAGGGTCTTAAGAGGTCCTTCCTTAGCCTGGTTCAAATTTGCTGCCTTGATATGTCACAGCCAAGTATGTGCTTTAAAAGGTCTTTGTTCGTTAGCCATTAATCCATTCAGCAAACGTTTTGTATACAGCGCTGGCTCCCAGATTTTGAATAGGCACTGGGGGGACACGGACTGCCAGCCCAAGGATTTCAGAGAGAGTGTATGTGTGTCTATCTGTCCATCTGCTGTTCGCCGGGGGTGTGGTGGGAACCTGGTAGGAGCAGTTGCATTTTAATTTTATTTATTTACTTGAGAAAGAGAGTGAGAAGGAGCAGGGGGAGCAGCAGAGGGAGAAGCAGACTCCCCACTGAGCATCCAGCCGGATGCAGGGCTCGATCCCAGGACCCTGGGACCATGACCTGAACTGAAGGCAGATGCTTAACCGACTGAGCCACCCAGGTGCACTGGAGCAGTTGCATTTTTAAAAATTGCAATTCAGTGTGACAATTGCTACCATTGGTGCTAAGAGCACTTTTCTGAGTGACAATTAGAAAGAACAAAGGAGAAGCATCTGCGGCGGCACGGTAAAGAGCTAAATTCTTAAATAGCGTGGGGACAAGCAACAGTGCAATTGCAGCAGATGAAGGGTGGTTCGCAGTACACACAGTCACACCCACACCCACACAATCACACACATGCACACAGTCACATCCACATACAATCACACCCGCATGCACACAGTCACACCCACATGCACACAATACAGATGTCAAATAAGTATGAAAAGATACCCCACTTCACTCAAAATTTGAAAAATTTAATTGAAGAAGTACCAAGATACATTATCTTCCCATCAGAGTGGAAAAAAGAAACATTTTTTAAGGTTATAATATAGACCCCCCCCCCATACACTATAAGTTAGAAAGCAGTGAGACAGTATCTATGTTGCCTGTGCCAGGGGTGGTGGACCACTGTCCCGTGTCTCACACAGACCCCCCCATCCCCGGAAACCCTCCCCACCACCATGTGACCCCCAGCTCCCCCTTAGGAGAGCTCTCTCCCACCCCTTGGCCAAAGGCATGAGAGCCAGTGTGAATGACAGTTGGGCCCAGATGTATTAGGAGCCCCTGGGTGTCTCCCTTGCTCACTTTTGGGGTGAGCCAGTATGTTCCAGACGAGGGCTAGAGTTCCAGCCCAAGTCCCAGAATGAAGACACTGCACAGCAGAGAACCCAGCGGGACTATAGCTGATGTGTCTACCAGGATGTAACATTAGCAAGAAATAAACTTCCATTGTTTGTAAGCACTGAATGTAGGGGATTTGTGTTTGAAACCTCGAGCTCATCTAGTGAAAGCTGACCATAAAACCTTCTAACCCAGTAATTGCCTTGCTGGTAACTCACTTAACTGGCAGACATAGTCTTACCTGTGTGCGAAGATATGAGCACAAGGGTTTTCTGCAACCCCGTTTATGGTAACAAAAAACAGAAGGAAACAGCCTAAACTTCCGTCAGTAGGGAAGGCACCGAATAAATGATCATCTGGCCATATAATGGAATACTATATATACATATGTTAAGAGTTTCGCAGTCTTTAAAAATTATTTATATAATTGTATATTACAGCATTTACCGTTCTGCAAGTTTGTGTTTTCATGCAACAGTATATTTTCCATTTTGTCCATGTCCTTGGGTGTGCACTGCTCATTCGTGCACCCGCTCATCTTCTCTGTGTGAATGCACCGCATTTCGGCGGACCCTCCTGCTCACGGCTAGCAGGGCCACTGTTGCTCAGGCACAGTTGCTGCCCAGAACAGTCTACCACGAGCCTCCTCGTGTGCGAGTGCGTGTGCAGGGGTGTCTGCAAGACATTGCAGCCCTGGAGCGGCCCGGCCATGCAGCACCAGCGCCGTCAGATCCCAGATCCATGCTGACTTGTGCTGCACACACAAGCTTCCTCGAATGCCACTTGTGTGGGCCTCGCCCCCCGGCTGCTCTGTTACCCGGCATGTGCCCTAGCCAGGATTATGGGTACGTACCATGCGGCAGAAAGACTTTTTAAGCGTGCAGGGAGGTGCTAAGTAGCAGTTGCCTCTGGGAAGGGAGCAGGCGGAGATCAGGAAAGGGTGGACAGGTGACCTCAAGTCTGTGTTCTATGTTTTATTTAAAAAAAAAAAAAACAGGGCGCCTGGGTGGCTCAGCTGGTTAAACGACTGCCTTCGGCTCAGGTCATGATCCTGGAGTCCCCAGATCGAGTCCCGCATCGGGCTTCCTGCTCAGCGGGGAGTCTGCTTCGCCCTCTGACCCTCCCCCCTCTCGTGTGCTCTCTCTCATTCTCTCTCTCTCAAATAAATAAAATCTTAAAAAAAAAATAAATAAGGCAATACGGTGCAACCTTAAGATTTGATAAAGCTGCCAACTTACATGCAAGTATTTTTATGTTATTTGAATCTGTTTGTTTAAAATATCTGCTTATGTGTAAATATGACCACAGAGAAGCATCTTAGGACTTTTCAGAAGCGCTTAAGTCCCTTCTGGGAAGCAGGGGTCAGAAGGGTGTTGCACTTGTCACTCTACTTCTTTCTTTAGTGTTTGCATTTTTTTTAGAAACATATATCAAGTTCATGAATTAAAAATTGAGGAGGGATGAGTTTCTGATTGTATGGATGAGATGAAAGACTTCAAACTCTCAGAACCTGTGTTTTCTCATCTGTAAAATATGGGTTAGAAGCATCTACTTTGTAGGGCTGCTGTGAGGATTATGAATTATTCATATTATAGATCTTGCAGAGCACCTTTACATAGTAGGCACTAAATAAATAATAATTGTTTACATTATTAATAAAAATGTAGGATACGCTCTGTTTGCAAATTTACTCACCCTGAAATGTGCAGAGAAAATAGATGTAGTTTCTTTATTACTCAATAAGTGATCTGTTCTTCCACATGAGCTCCCCACAGGGGAAAATGGATCTTGGAGCCAGGAAACTTAGTTTGATTCAATAATTTAAACCCACAGCCAATGTTTAAATCCCTTTCAGTAAGTGCTGTCTCTTTAAACACCTAGACTCTCAGATCACTGCTGCCCACCCCCCCTGGGGAGATGGTGTCAGATTTATCAAATAAAAATGCAGGACACCCAATTATATTTAATTCCAGGTAAACAACAGTTTTTTTAGTGGTAAGTCCTGAATACTGCATGGGACATATTTATACTAAAACAAAACAAACGAAACAAAACATTCTATTGTGTATCTGAACTTAAAATGTAACCGAAAATCCTGCATTCTTTTTGGGCAATCCTATCTAATGGGTGAATGGTGGAGGAGGGAAGGGGTAGCGGGACATAAGACCCCTGGAGGCCTCCCGGACTTTGGATGAGCCGTGGGCAGTGTCTGGGTCCAGTCCCTGGGCCATGGACAGGCTCTGAGGGCCATGGCTGGTGCGACCCACAGTCTGTCTCTCAGCTTAGCTGGGGCCTGGCTGAACCAGCCCCATCTTGCTCCTTGGTGGCATATCCTCTTTGGGCCCTGGGCTGGGACCTCCACTCGATAGCCACTGCAGTGGGGTCTCTAAGTCCTCAGAATAGTGGGATCTATGGCAGGTTTCCAGGCTCTCAGTGGAGCCACTTGTCATGTGGTCCCAGAGAAACATGCAAGAAGTTGCGATGATCCCAGGGAAGCTCAACACCAGCCATCCCTCTCCCCAAACAGTACATGTCCTCTAGCTCAGACGTGGCCACCCCTGAGCGCAGAGCGTCCCAGCATCCCCAGCCTGAAGCAGAGAGCAGGCAGTACCCTGGCCACGGTGTCCCCGCCATGGCCCTATCTCCCTCTGCCCCCCTGCCTCCCCCCTGCCTCCCCCCTGCTCTCTCTGCCTTCATTGTGCCCAGTCCCCCCAGGGCCAAGGGGCAGCCCTCCCCTGCTCCTTCTTGGATGCTCTGTGACCCCCACTCAGCACTCACTCCATGAATATGAAATCAAGCACCAACTATATTCCAAACACCATCTAGATGCTAGAAATAATGGCAGTGAGTAAGAAAGCTCTTCTAGAGCTTACACTCTTGTGCAGTTGAAGACAAGCACAGTGAGCAAATACTGAAAATCCCCGTCCTGAGGTCCCAACAGAACGTGGCAGGGAGCTCTCTAAAGGGGGAGGGAGTGGGGACGGGTAGGGGCTGGTGGCATGGTCAAGGAGGCTCCCGTTGGTCAGGTGAAGACATTTCAGCAGAGACTGGAATGAGGAAGACTAGCAAGCATGCCAGTGTCTGGGGCAGAGGGAATGGCGGGCGCCCTTCCAGCCTGCACAAGTCCCGCTGGCTGGAACAGAGTGAATTCACAAAGAGGGCAGAGCAGAGGTCAGAACGATCGCCTGCCTCATAGTATACTTTCAAAATGATACAAAAAATAATTTGGAAAGCCCCTTTTGCTTTCTGGACTCTCTTCTCCCTCAAGAGAACGAGGACATTGACCAAGACTGAAGCCAAGGAGGGCCCCTCTGCCCGGAGCCGGCCCTTCCCTCACACCTCCGGGCTCTGGGCTTCCTGACGGCCTCGGAGCCGGCAAGCTGCAAGCTGACGTCACGCAGGAGGAAACAGACCCACAGGCGAACATCCGCACAATAACCCTGCTAGGCTAGTAAGTGTTTGCGAAGGGTCACAAGAGGCCAGCAGGGGGACGACTTCTCCGGGACGAGAACCGCCGCTGGAATCATTCACCGGAACTCGGTGCCCTGCGTGCGATGTGCGTCGGCACGGGGACCGTGGAGCGAGGAGGGAGTGCACCAAGGGAGGCTCCACGAAAGGCTGTTTGTGGTTTTTCGGCAACGTGCACCCTGGGAGTTTGAGCTGGGTTCCTTGTGATTGCCGAGGGCACGAAGTCAGACAGGTAGCCTGCAGCAGCCCGCTGTGTGCAAGCTACAAGGGAGGCTAGATTCTCCTGTGTTTCAGATAAACTAACAGCCTTCTTCCTGTTTCTTCTCTGGCTTCTCCTCTCTCCCCACTCAGGTCCTGGAGTCCCCATGGTGACAGTGCACAACTCAACAGATAAGAAAAGTAAGTGCCTTTTGCTCTTTTCTGGAATCTTCCCGTGCTGTGGGAGAAGGAAGCCGAAGTTCTGTGAGAGAATCCAGCCCACGTGTTCTGATTTGGAGACACAGAGACGGCGCTGTCCCAGTGGTTCAGAGTGACCCCCACAATGGCCAGCATTGATCAATGCGGTGGACACTCAGAGCCACGCAGCCGGAAGATGAGCTGAGGCCTGGAGGCCACTGCAGCCATGCAGGGCCCGTCCGCGGCCCTGAACGGAGCCCAAGGCCCGGAGCTCTGCAGCCTGGCCCTCCACTGGGGGCCCCACGGGCACTTGGAGACTCATCTGCCCTCGTGGGTAGGGGACGCCTTCATGGCATGAGGGGCCTTCACTTGAGGCCCTCCCGGCACGTTTTTGCTTGGAGGGGCCCCACACAAGTTGAATGCATACTCGTGTATTTATGCAAAGGATCGGAAATGATGCTTCCAGCCCCAGGCAGACCCTTGGTAAGGCTGAGGATGAAGAGAACATGCCCTCAGCCCCTCCCTTCCTTGGCCTTTCTCTGCCCTGCCCCCGAGGAACCCCACTGCTTCTCTCCCCCCGACCCCCCGCTCTTTCCCACTGTGGTACCACCTGCCCTGGCAGGACCCTGCTCTGTGTCCCGCCTTCTAGAGGAAAGTCAGACCTCAGGCCCCGATGGCAGGCGTCACTCTGCCTTTCCCTTGAATATCAAGGCATCTGGGTGTCAGTGACTCTGATTCCTGGCCTGGTGGTCGGACTTGGAGCCCAGCTGGCATGGGCGGGAAAGTGTGGAAGAGGGGGTCTCCAGTGTTCTATTTAGACACTGGTTAGAAAATGGCCAGAGTGTTCAAAAGTAGATAAAATAGATTGATTTTAAGAGACAGCATTTAGAGAGTAATCCCAAATGATGACGGTATTTCACAAAACTTATACAATAGTTACTAGAGATTCCAAAGTAAAAGATAACATCAGGAATAGATTTTTAAAATCACTTAAAATGCAAAAGAAGTCCAAAAAAGGGCTGTCAGATGGATATGAAACCCACTCAAAACACTTGCGTGGCCATCAATGGGGAGAATATGGGGAGCAGGCTACGTTGACCTTCCTGTTGTCCCCCTGGGGGGTGGCGATGTTCTGGGCACAGGGGTGCCCGGCCCCAGGCTTCATCTCCAACACAACTAGGGAGCCTTCCAGGAGCCTGTGAGGTTTGGGGGTCTGGCGACGTGCCCAGTAGGGACGGGGTGTGATGTGCGATGGTCTGGGCTGCACCCCACCCAGCCACAGGCTGCCCACTCTTGTGGGTACAAGGGCTTGGAGAGTCCGGGGGAGGCTGCCTGAGGGGTCAGGCCAACGCTCAGCCCAAGGCAGGCATCTGTGGGGTTGACAGACACAGCCTGGCATGACAGCCCTCTTTTAAAAAGTGTTCATGTTAGAATCCCTTTAGCAATGATTCTCACTTTGAAGCATGGAAATATTTCAAAAAGCCTCAACTGGAATATCTTTTTTTCTGAAGAAAACTTGTACTATTCACTTAGAGGACTTGTTTAAATGTAAGAGTACACAGATGGTGGTGTATGTACATATATACACAATGGAATATTAGCCATCAGAAAGAATGAAATCTTGCCATCTGCAACAACATGGCTGAAGCTAGAGGGTACTATGCTAAACAAAACAGCTCCGTCAGAGAAAGACAATTATTACATGATTTCAGTTATATGTGGAATTTAAGAAACAAAACAGAGGATCATAGGGGAAAGGGAGGGAAAAATATAGTAAGATGAAATCAGAGAGGGAGACAAACCATAAGAGACTCTCAACTCTAGGAAACGAACTGGGGGTTTGAAGGTGGGTGGGGGGATGGGGTAACCAGGTGATGGACATTAAGGAGGGCACGTGATGTGATAAGCACTGGGTGTTACATGCAACTGATGAATTATTGAATTCTACCCCTGAAACTAAAAAAAAAAAAAAAGTAGAGAGATAATTTCCTGATATTTTATGAAGTTTTTCCCTTCTTAAAAATCTGTGGAATGATGCACACTGAACAGGGTGTGTAGTCAGTGTTCTCGCTGGATGCTGTGCCATGTCACAGAGGGTGTCACTCTGGGAGGAAGCTGGGTGTGGGGTGTATGGGACGCTAGGCCCTATTTTTGAAACTTCCTGTGAATTTATTTCAAAACAAAAAGGCTTTTTTTTTTTTTTAAAGATTTTATTTATTTGACAGAGAGAAAGACAGCGAGAGAGGGAACACAAGCAGGGGGAGTGGGAGAGGGAGAAGCAGACTTCCCGCGGAGCAGGGAGCCCGACGTGGGGCTCGATCCCAGGACCCTGGGACCGTGACCTGAGCCGAAGGCAGACGCTTAACGACTGAGCCACCCAGGCGCCCCCCCCCTTTTTTTAAATCTATTGTCTAGTAAAAACACAAAACTATTTCTAGGTGCCTTTTCTCCCCCTTTTTTAAGAAAACTAGGTGTGACTCTTCTTAAGAAAGCCATTCACTTCAACACTCTGACTTGCTTCTCTGGAGGACGCTGTTAGGAATCCGTCCTGGTCCGGGGTGACGCAGCGCCTGCGTCTGAGGCCTTGTGCCTGGTGGGCGCACTCAGGCGTGGCCGTGATCACGGCTCCAGGGCTGCTGGAGGCCAGGAGTGCGAGCCTGTGTGCCGAGCCCCAGTCCCCGCCTTTCCTCCTCGGGCTTATGTGGGGATGAAGCAGGCCTACCTCTTACATGCTTCACAACATTAATGAAGCAGGTTGCTTATTCTGTTTATAAAATGGGGCTGCGTAAGTGCGGTACACCGCACTCAGAGCGTCTGGGTAGGAGTTCGCCGTGTGCCCTCCAGCGCGGGCAACGGGAAGGCTCTCAGTCTGGGATGGCTCCCTAATTATGCTGGGAAACCAGACGAGCCCCTTCTTGTCCCCGGGTTGGTTGATCGGCTGCACGAACTGCTCTCCCCAGTCAGCCCCAGAGACTGGAGGTTGTAGTCGTCCCTATTCTGTTGGGGACCCCCTAAAAAGAGGTGTTTAGAGAAGCTTTCACTGTTTGGGGCTCAGGGGCCAGAGTCGCAGCTGATTCCCAGAGGAGAGAGGGCGGCCCACGGGACGAGAAATGGAAGCATCTGTCTGCGGCCCGCCATCAGCTCTGCGTGGGGGCGCTTGGGTCTTCGCCCCGTGAAGGTGACACCGTCAGCAAAGCACTGATTAGCGGGGAACCGGACAGCATCCGTGCTGCGCGGTGATGTGTGGCGTCCTGATGAGCCCGTGTACCGTGTCGGACGCCGGCTTCCCCGCAGCCGGATTCACACTCTGGGGAGGTTTCCTCCCGACCTGGTCCGTTGCCGCGTCTCTAGTTGTCACTGTACCTCAGCGGTTTCCGGAATATGGACGCCAGCCCCCAGGCTGAACACAGAACGATTCCGTGGTTGAGCTGCTGGTGGGGTCCCCCACCCCAGAGCAGAAGAGGCGTGGGTCAGGGTCTGATTGGTACTCAGGCCCGGCGGTCGGAGGCGAGGCGGAGAGGCTCCCGGCCGCCCACTGCCCCCCACACGGTGCCCGGGGGCCGTGCCGTGTGTTCATCGCTGTGGGTCAGGGCGTTGGGCCTGCACCACGGCTCTTCACGTAGGAGAGTCTCGTGTGTCGCTAGGACCTGGCTGTGTCACGGAAGGGCCCAACAGTGTGGTGGCCCACGCAGCTCTCGGCGTGCGTCCCCACCTGCCGCCACACGCCCTCCCGCCGGCCCGCACACGCGTCCGCACTTCCACCCTCCAGCCGCTCCAGGGCCGGAAGGCAGGGCTCAGGTGAAGTACGAGGGGGTCCCGGTGACTGGCTTCCCGTGAGCACCCGTGATGCATCCCCCGACTCCCCGCTTTCCTCTTCTGGTCCCGGCTTCGCCCCGCATCCTGCTGGCTGCACAGAATGCCAGGAAAACAGCTTTCATCCCGGCTCCGTGACCCTCGGGTGGAATCAGGGGTCCGTTGCTGAGTGGTGACAGCCGCTGGGGACGCCACCACCAGGATCTGAGTGCATGTCCCCCAGAGCAGCACTGCCCAGAAACGCATTCCGTTGCAGCTCCGGAGGCTGCAAGCTCAGGATCAGTGTGTCGGCAGGGTGACTGTTCGGAGGCTGTGAGGGGAGGCTGTCCCCCGGCTTCTGGTGGCTGCTGGCCACTTCTAGCGTTCCTTGGCTGGTACGAGCGTCACCGTTCCTCTTCACACGGCCTCCCCGTGTGCGTCCCTGTATCCAAATCTCGCCTTCTTATAAGGACACCGGTCATATTGGATTAGGGTCCCTCATGGCCTCAACCCAACTTGTTTCTTCTGCAAAGACCCTAATTCCAAATATGGTTACCTTCACAGGCACAGGGGGTGAGGACGTCAGCATCTTGAGGGACACAGTTCAACACACAACACAGCAAAACGAGGGTTTGTAATTCATTCCCACGAAATCCAGGTCATGTGATCCTTGTTGCTCTCCTGGGAGGAAACTGGGGTTGCACGTTCCTTCTAGACTGTGGCCCATCACCATCATCACTGCTTCTGGCCACGTGGGCGGGAGGAAAGAAAAGATTTTGTGGGATTTGTTGCATTGGAGTCTAGCAGTGGTAGGCGTCATTTCCACCAGCCAGAATTCCCTCATGGGGAGCCCCCTAGATGCAAGAGAGGCCCCGGAAGGCGGGAGGCAGGCCAATGGGTGCTAGCAGTCAGTGTCACAGGAAGAAGGACTGTGGGTCTAGAACGCACTGGCTAGCTTTGCCAGCCCCTGAGAGACGTGACCGAGTGCATAATTATTGGCCGTTTCTGTACAGATCACTTGGCCTGAGCGCGCTCCTCAGATACTTCCCTGTACCGGCCCATGGAGGTGCTCTCCAGAGGCCCCAGCCTGCAGAAAGATGTGCTCAGCACCAGAGGGGTCCCTACGAGGGGGTGGGCCCCAGCGCGGCGGGGAGGGTTCTCTGACTGTGGCAGGGAGCACCAGCCCCCAGCCTAGGGGTGCAGGAATGTAG